TGTTTTTGTTTTTAAAATTAAATATACCTAGCCAACTATTAAAAAAAAACGTTTTTAGTTACTTTGCATCACTCATTCGTGCTTGTGGGGATTTACACAACATTTTTTTGTGGCTAAACCGTTTACTCAACTGAAATTTTATAAGAGAGAAAATAGTTTCTAAATTAAAGTAACTATTCAGAAAAAAAAATGGTAGTGTTTGTACACGGGGTTAAAAAGATATGGATGCATAATGTATTGTTACGCAGTTTTTAAACACTCTATAATTTTCGAAATTAGAGTTTATTCCACAAATAGCTGTAGTCTGCTGATAGAAATCCATGCCCAAAAAATGAATAAAAGCCATCGAGAATTTTTCGACTTACTTAAAAAAAAATTAAAAAACATATTATTTTTAAAGCTCTCTAGCGGCTAAACTAAGCAATTTTGTATATAGATAAGTTGAGGTAAATCATCATATTTTTGGTCAAGGTACTTGTGGTCTTGCGTTGTACACGTCATTTCTGGACATCCTGTATAATATATACAGGGTGAGTTATTAGTATCCCGGCGGACAATAGTTGCTAAACCGTTTGAGAAAGAAAAAAGTATTTTCTACAAAAGTTGTTTGACTTACCACTTTCTGTTACGTATTTTCACTTATACAGGATGTTCTATTTCGGTGTAACGGCGAGTATGTACATTTTTTTAAATGGAACACCCTGTATATTTTATCGTATTATGAATAGAATTAAATTTGTTTATACAACCGTATATGTTACTAACTCAGAGCGTTCATAGTTCCTGAGACAGCAGGATATTTGCAGGATATTTTTAAAACCTATGTAAAAACGACATTTTTTCCAATTTTTCCTTGAAACTATGTCAGATAATGGTCAAAGCCAGTAGGTATCCAAAGATATTAGATACGCTATACAGCGTGTTCATAAAGCTTAGTTACTTTTTAATGTTTTTCAAATGACTTTTTCATAAGTTTTTTAAATGGAACATTGTGTGCTGGTTGAATTGCTCATTAAGTTAGTATGTCATATGTCCAACTTTAATAGTTTTCCTGATAATTAAAATTTAAAGAAAAATGTGTAATAAAATGTCATTATTTATGACTCTGTAACACACCTGAGAAGCACTTATGTTACAAA